ACATAGATATAGTGAAGAGTGTGCGCAATGCCATTTTTGTGCAATTCTGGGATGTTCTTTTAAGTAAAAATAAGCCGACGTGTACATGGTTTAGTGATATTTTAATTAAATGATAGTTATTTTGTGAATTTTATGTTTGTAGGAATTTGGTATACGTTTAAGTTGAAATAAACGTGCATGAAAATAATTTAAATATTTGATACTAAGTATTTGTAATGCTTGCGGTATGAATTCGTTGGTGAGGTGTATAATGTAATAGATGATTTAGAGGTAAAAGTTTTTGGATATTTTATTTATTTTATACGTGGAAATGTTCATATTTGTAAAGGGTAAATACTTTTTCGCGATCAGGTAATTTCATTTATGTTCTTTTTACCGGGTTTAAAGATTGAGAAAATTGTCATGTATTTTCGTGAAATTTTTCTAATTTAAGAGAAAAAAGCAGTGTACATGGATATAGTGAAGAGTGTGCGCAATGCCATTTTTGTGCAATTCTGGGATGTTTTTTTAAGTAAAAATAAGTCGGCGTGTACATGGTTTATGTGTATGTGTTATTTTGAAAAACGCGTAAGGAGTATGGTATCGTGCACTTTTTCCCAATTTTGCAGTGAATATTTGTCATGATTAAGCAGTTTTGTTAGATAAAATTTCTAGCATAAGTGTAATTCGGCTAGTAGATTGTTGGAAGAAGTGTTCAGTAGATAAAAAGAAAAGAAACATGACTTCGTGAAGACAAAATGGCGGCGGAAAAAAAAAAATAGAGGGTTGCTGTAGGAGAGTTGGTTGCCAAATTTTCGCCAAAAAATTGCCATGTTACCATAATGTAAAGATCAACCAAAAAAAGTAAGAACCAAAAAACCAGGTCCATACGAAAGGGTTACTATTACAAAAAAGTGCAGCGGGCTTCCAGATTTCACGAACAACCATAACCGCTTGGCAATTTTTTCAGAAAAAAACAAGTGGTACTGTGCAGTAAAGATTAGACATTTCATTATTTCATAAATCATGATTCATATTCTTAATTTTATAATTTTTACATGTCAACTCACTAGATTTAAACTGATGATCTAATATCTGGAAAAATCCCAAATCCAGGACTGCTGAAGTCCCGACAAGTCCAGATCTTGGACTTTTTACTGTATATGATAATTCAAATATTCTTACCGAGAAGAAACATAAATTCATTCACCAAATACATGAATGTAATTTGACTTTATTACATATTTCTTATCATGACTTAAGTTTTCACCTTCACTTAAGTCGCTTCATGGCTTGTACTTAAATACAAATAATAGAATGCATAGACATTTTTACATATATTAAAGAATCGATTAAGTTTAGCAATATGAAAATTTAAAATAACTTGCATCACTGCTATTTAAACATTAATTTAGCATAATTATCTTAATTTAACATAAAATCTTATTAATTTAAACATTCAATCAATACACGCTGTACATTTCTATACTAAAGAAAGGATACATTCGCTGATTATTTTTATTTTGCCTATTGGTGCATAATGCAATCGAGCACAGCATATCAGTGATTTTGCTATATTAATTTAATAATACTTGTGATAGAAAAAAAAGCAAATTAATTTTCATAGTCTCTTACAAATTTATACTCAGCTTAAATCAATGCAAAAGCCCATATTAATTCAAGGAAGAACTTCAGTGATGTCAGAACCAACAAAGAAAGAGAAGGCACTTTTGCTTGTTTACCCAGGTGAGCTAACCTTCTCTTATACGGATCTTACAGTATGCCTCGGAGAGTACGCAAAGTGATACCTGGGGGTACATCAAAGAAGCAGGTTAATGAGCACTTAGTGTATAACTGTATGAAGAGAATTTGGAAATGTTTCAATCATGATAAGATGTTACTTCTGCAAATGAAGTAATGAAACAAATTAAAAGACTTATTTCTGCAAATTTAAAATATCTGAACATAGGATTTTGTAATTCATGTACAGATTTTTCTAGCATCGAAACAGTTTCAGTGGGTCATGACCCATATGCTGCAAATGTAAAAACAGATTAGCTTTCGACTGCAGCTCATGAATAGTTAATTCATATGAAAGAACAACATTACAATTCAAATTTAAAGAAAATTTTAGAGATGAAAACAACTTTTGTAAATAGTTTATTATACGTTTCATCTAAATATTTCAAAAAGGGAGTAAACTTTTTATAAGACAGCTTGTGTTTCCTTCAATCTGATGAAAATTTTGTGGTGATCAACTTGAGGAGCGATTTGAAGAATCGTTCTCTCATCGATTCTGCAGCAAAATACTGTGATCTCAAACTTTTACTCAACTTTCTTGAAATGCAAGCAAATCAAATAAGCACATATTTGAGTTTCAGACAAAAACAATCATGACTTGCCCATCAAAACCGAAATTTTGGCATTTTCTAATAAGGTGGTTGCAAATATACATGAGTACTTGTAAATGATAAACATTACACATAATATATTATACATTACTGCTGTTCCTTCTACATACACAGCAATCTGTTTTCACTTGAGAAAATGCAAGAGTTGTACAGCTTTGTCATTGTTGTAAGACCTGGTCTTCTATGCTATCATACAGTTGAAAAGAACTTACGGGGAAACCTGGCGACTTCTCGCACAAGCCTGATTAATACCAGAACAGAAGAAGGGTAAAATAAACCCTTTATTATTCTTTTTTTCACAAATGCACGTACTTCATGGTAACAATACCACCGACAACTTGCGTTGGGAACTTCACTCACAATAAATTCAAAATATAAGTAAAAGTGTTGGACTAACAATTTGCCAACTCATCAACCTATCCAGAGATAGATGTATTAAATGGCCAAAAGGTATATCAACAAATCAACAGCAAGGACGAAACAGTAACATGAGCTGGTTAGTGAAATCATGCTGTGAATAAACTACTAGTTTCATCTGTTTTTCTACTCTCTTCACTTTACCTTAAATTTGCACACTGGTGAGGAAATGTGAGGGGAAAATGAGAGGTTTAGGAAAGATACCAAACTTAAAAGAATTTATTAGTCAAACTAAAGATAACCTTGTGAACATTTAACATTATTAGATTATACGCATTAATATTTAAACATTATACATAACATATGACACCTTACTGTTGTTCTTTCCACATACACAGCAATCTGTTTTCACTTACGAATATGCAAAAGATTTTTCGTCATTGAGAACATTTAACATTATTATATCCATTAATATTTTCTCCCCATGTACACAGCAATCAATTTTCACTTTAAAAATACCACAGAATTGCACAATCTTTGGATTGATTGTGCGCATTAAACATTATATAAAATATAATTACTGTTGTTATAATGCAACAACACTACTGTTATTCTCCCTATGTATACGGCAATCTGCTTTTAATTTAAAAAACATCAGACAGTTCCACAAAATTGGCACTGCATACATTAAACATAAATATTGTACACATATGTATTATTTGATACAGTACTGTTGTTCTCTTTCTGCAAATGATGATCTGTTTTTACTTAAAAAACATTACAGAATTGCACAAACTAAGTATGACGCACACTCTCGGCATTACATTATATTCATTATATGATATACAAATGTTTTCCTAATATCCCACACCACTATTAATTCCAGCTATTAAAGACAAATAAATTTTCTAAAATAAAATGATTATGAAACAATGAAAAAGTACAATTATTAGGGAAAATCATCATCTTAGCCATATCCCTTAGTCTTCTAATTAATTAGGCTAATTGATATGTATTACACAGCTTTTAAAAATTCAATAATTTTATCATTTCTAATTGTTTAATAATATTTTAATAGCTTAATCAATCATAAATTATGATGAGTAATCTAGCAATATCTCTTAATTTTTAGAATGCAGTTACTGAAATCTAAAAAACTGGCAAAACTTTTTAACAGTGAAAAATGCAACTGTAATTGTACATTTAAAAAAAAGGGGGGTGACCTCAATCTTAATTAAACATTTTATTTTAATAAACATTCATAATAATATATTCATATAAGATATTTTGTTAATTTAAATAATTTAAAACTTCTGTGTTAATTAAATAATTTAAAACTTCTGTGTTATTTACATGATTTAACTGTTAGAATAAAATTTTGCAAAAGATCGTGTAATTACAGTCTTAAGTCATATTATCTGATTACATAAATGGAAAGAAAACTAATCAATAATTAACTGGAAGGCAAATCCAAAAGAACACTATGCATTATGAATGAAATTAAAATTCAATAATCCTGTAATTAAAAACAGCATGCTATTTTTCACTTAACTTGAATAAAAAAAGCAGTGTTTCATGAGTTAATCATCAAAATTTATTCTTAATTATGTTACAAGAGTCTCAAATCGGGATTCATAATTTCAGAGTAAACATAAACTCTGCAAATATGAAGAAATAAATTTTAAAAAAATTAAAATTCTTAATCGTAATATCATTACGGGTTTACAAGCTGAACATTAACGCTACTACATTACAGAAATATATAAAAGAACTAAGCTACTCATTATGAGCACTGGACATTTAATATACATGTGACAACCGATCTTGATTTGAGATGGAATTAACTGGTTTGAAAAACAAGGAAGTAAAACTGTCGAAATTTCAGTATTTTTTATAGAAGAATATTAGAAACCACTGGTGATGGAAAATGTTAATTTTTGTAGAAAATAAATTTCCTAAATGCAAAACAATTTATAAGAACGAAATCATTAAAAAACATTTTCATACTTCGTTTGTTTACATTGTCGTATTAATGGAAATAAGCTTTTAATTAATCAACAATTTTGTCATTCACTTGGCATAAACACAAATAGACAGTGATGACCTAAACATATGAATCAATTTACTCTCAAAAAAAAGTTTAAAAAATTAAATAAAATCATACTGACATAATTCTGTTAAGTAATTTCTCGTTAAGCCTACGTATATGAGAAACAGAATTATTTCAGAGGTTACATAAGAAATCTGACTCACTCTTTATATTAATGTTTTCATGTCCCCGAACTCAATATAAATTTATTCCAACTTTCTTAATACAAAATTTTTCGTATCTAATAATAATAATGAGTAGACAAACAGTTTTAGTTTTCATTTCACACTGCCAATCATCAATCACAACAAATAATATGGCTCCCATCAAATGTTGTATTTATTTTTGTTGTTTGTGAGAGCGTTTATTCTAAGAGAGAAAATAAGTAAATAATATTTGTAAAATTTAATTTAAATTTTTTTAAATAGTTTAAAATAAAATTATTTTACTTCATTAACTGAAATTTTAAAATAAGGCAAAAGAAAAAAAAATAACATAAGGCCTAACACATAACATCACGAACAACGGAAGTTGAAAAGTAATACAACTTTTTCGAAAAGGTGCTACAAAAAACTCTAATTGATATTATTATTAACTAGAGGAGGTAGAAATCATCTAGTAGCAATAATGAGGAAAAATAGGGAAAGAGGGGTGTAAACAGGTCTGTTGTGTATATACACGTGCACGACATTTCAACTCCTAAGTTTCTTTTCTATGATGGCAGTCTTATTGAAAAAAACAAACAAACAAAAAGAAATAATAATAAACTGCCATGACAGATTAGGCGATCAGTGGAAAAGTTTTTTGGATGTAACAATTGTTGTGTTTCTGCATACTGTGACAAAATGACCACTAAGCCCAAGTAAGAAATTTTTACTGATTTTTATAGTCTTACCATATATATATATATATATAAAATATACAGGGTGATTCTAAATTTTTACAAATTGAGAGGGTTGATAGTACTCATCCAGTTGAGCAATAATTATCATAAAACATAGAGTCGCATTCCAGTCTGAGAGGCAGAAAAGAGGAATATTAGAATTCCAATCTGATCTTACAACAGTGTTGGGAGAGCAAATGAACGAGACCAAAAGTCGCGCGATCAGTTTAGTGAAAAACTCACAGAGTGCACAAAGCGGATAAAACCGAAAACTTGGCGTTCGAGTGTTAATTCGAGCTCAGATTTTGATGGCAAACCCTCAAATGCACATCTTTGGTTTGCAAGGTCTCAACCTTGCAAGTGATTAAAACAGGTTAATTATCTATTCTAGGGCTGAATATTATCAACTACTCCAACTTCCTCTGTATGCCGAGATTAGCATGAAAAGATTATGCTGTGTTCCGGCTGTCAGAACTTTGTGTCCCATAGAAGGGCGCTTCAAGTAAAATGAGCGCAGCACAGTATGTCCAGGAGGACAGGATAGAAGATGACGAAGGGGGAAGAATTGATACTTTGATTAGATAATTAACTTGTTGCAATCGTTTGTGAGGTTGAGACTTTGCGAACCAGAGATGTGCATTTGAGTGTTTGTCATCAAAGTCTGAGCTCGAATTAACACTCGAGCACCAAGTATTCTGTTTTACCTGAATCACTCCCCAATGTGAACCTGGACTCGTCTGTGAAGAGAACAGACACGCATTGTTGACTGGTCCAGGAGATGTGTTCTCTTGCCCAACATAAATAGGCACCACTGTGTCCTTGGATCAAGAGGACACAAACTACTGGTTGTCTTGCATATAGACTTGTATTGTACAGGTGTCTGTGTACTGTAGTAGCTCATATTCTTGTTCCTGTTGCCACTAAATGATCTGCCATGAGCTGAGGCACAGTGATGTTACTCCTTCTTCGTGCCGAAAGATTCCCGCAGGTGTTGTAACTCTAGGTCTGCCAGAAACATGTCTTCTAGACACAAATCCTCAGATTCAAACTGATTCCATAGTCAGTGGACTACACTACGAAAGACATTGAGATGTCTAGCAGCATCAGCTTGTGACATCCTCATTTCCATTCATCTGCTCGCCTGCCACCTCAACTCGGATAAACGACTTCTGCTGGACATTGATAGGTAGTTTGGCGACATTTTGGAGGCGATAAAGGTTACTACCTGGGACTTTGGTAATAATGTGAGCAGTACTCAGTTCCGATTACGCATTATTTTGTGTGAGGGAAATGAGAGATCATGGGATATGTCATGTGATATTAATGGACGAATTACGGTTCTTTAATCCGAAAAGGGGGGAAATCGGGAAAAAAATCTGGAATTTTATATTTGGTTATTCTGGTGTTGTCTGAAAACAGTGTTCGTGAATTTTTGGATCCCATGGCCGTAACTAAAGAAAAGTTTATCGGACACGTAATCAAGATTCTGAAGAAGATTAGGTAAGTTAGTATTTTTAATTATTTGAGGATATTATTTTTATGCATTGTTCTAAATGTAAGGTGGAAGTAAAGAAATTTGGTATTATTGGGAAATTGTTATTAGCAATGATTTAGGTTTAAATAGGATTGTAAGGTAATTTTTATTAATTTAATGTATGGTGTGCTCATTTATATTTTAAGTAGTGTTTTTGAATTTAATTATATTTTAATTAAATGATAGTTATTTTGTGAATTTTATGTTTGTAGGAATTTGGTATACGTTTAAGTTGAAGTAAACGTGCATGGAAATAATTTAAATATTTGTTACTAAGTATTTGTAATGCTTGCGGTATGAATTCGTTGGTGACGTTATAATGTAATAGATGATTTAGAGGTAAAAGTTTTGGATATTTTTTATTTTTATATGTGGAAATGTTCATATTTGGAAAGGGTAAATACTTTTCGCGATCAGGTAATTTCATATATGTTCTTTTTACCGGGTTTAAAGATTGAGAAAATTGTCATGTATTTTCGTGAAATTTTTCTAATTTATGAGAAAAAAGCAGTGTACATGGATATAGTGAAGAGTGTGCGCAATGCCATTTTTGTGCAATTCTGGGATGTTTTTTTAAGTAAAAATAAGTCGACGTGTACATGGTTTAGTGATATTTTAATTAAATGATAGTTATTTTGTGAATTTTATGTTTGTAGGAATTTGGTATACGTTTAAGTTAAAGTAAACATGCATGGAAATAATTTAAATATTTGATGCTAAGTATTTGTAATGCTTGCAGTATGAATTCGTTGGTGACATGTATAATGTAATAGATGATTTAGAAGTAAAAGTTTTTGGATATTTTATTTATTTTATATGTGGAAATGTTCATATTTGTAAAGGGTAAATACTTTTTCGCGATCAGGTAATTTCATGTATGTTCTTTTTACCGGTTGTAAAGATGTGAGAAATTGTCATGTATTTTCGTGAAATTTTCTATTCGTTTTGGGATGTAAAGATTGTAAAGTTTTTGGATTTTATTTAATATGTTGTTCATGTACTTTTTGTAATTTCATGTATGTGAAATTGAGAAATTTCATGTAAGAAATTCAATTATGAGAAAAATGCAGTGTACATGGATATAGTGAAGAGTGTGCGCAATGCCATTTTTGTGCAATTCTGGGATGTTTTTTTAAGTAAAATAAGTCGGCGTGTACATGGTTTATGTGTATGTGTTATTTTGAAAAACGCGTAAGGAGTATGGTATCGTGCACTTTTTCCCAATTTTGCAGTGAATATTTGTCATGATTAAGCAGTTTTGTTGAGATAAATTTCTAGCATAAGTGTAATTCGGCTAGTAGATTGTTGGAAGAAGTGTTCAGTAGATAAAAAGAAAAGAAACATGACTTCGTGAAGACAAAATGGCAGCGGGAAAAAAAAAAATAGAGGGTTGCTGTAGGAGAGTTGGTCGCCAAATTTTTGCCAAAAAAACGCCAAGTTACCATAATGTAAAGATCAACCTTTTGCATTTTTTCTTTTAACTCCTATGTAAGTATTCATTTCTATAAAATAAAAATGGTAGCTATTATTTTTACATACATTTTCTTAAATTTCATTACTGTCATGCATAGGAACTGTGAATTTAAACGTTACTGACATTTTTGTAATGGTGACCTTTGAAAAATATGCTGTTGCTTAACTTTTGGAAGACAGTGTAAAATAAGCGTTAGATAAATTAAATGAATCCCCACAACCTGATTGATGTTGACAAATATGCATATAGTGAATCAGAAGATGAACAAAGAGATAAGAGCCATCAAGTAACAGAGGATGTCATATGCTGAAAGATCCGAGTGCAAACTGGAGTCTGCTTTGTAGCTGTAAAAGACTGCCTTTCAGAAATAAGTTGAAATAATAATTAGTAAGTCAGACCAAAAGCAAACCTTTTGCCGGCCTAATTTCAGCCTAAAATCTATCATTAATCTTCTTTATTTTAAAATTATTTTTGCTTATAAATGCAACAAACTGAATATTTCAGAAATACTGAACATACGTAAATAGATTTAGCAACAGATGTTATTAACATTCATAGTAAAATTAATGAAGGTAATTTATAAAACTTCTGTTATCCTCCCATTTGCTTATCTGTACCCAAACACTTGCATTAAAAACCAACCTCCCCCCTCAGGGGCTCAATTTTGTGAGTATGGGTGTGGCAATTCTGAGGTACACCCTAGCCCTTCATGGAGATCATCATCTTGGCGAGACGAGTGTCACAATCCTGAAGCCCCAGTGATCTATCCTCCTTTCCATCACCTCTCTTCTGAACTGAAACTTTTTTCCCTTCTATTCTCCCGCATGGTTTTCCTCTTTCTTCGGAGGTTGAAACTCTTCATGAGAAACTGGAACAGCTCTTGTTTCTAGTTTTCGATTGGCAAAAATACTGCTCATCTGTTTGTCGTGCTTGGAGAATTTGGCCTCTGCTACAGCTAAACAGGAGGTACCTTAGTCGTCCTCATGGGTGTCAATCGGCTTGTCACTAGTCCTTGTGTCAGTGGCTTGGGGATAAGCTCTCGGAAGTACTTGCTTTCGGGAAAGGCGGTGGTGGGGCTTCAGTTTTGTGTATAAACCTAGTTAGCCCTGTCGCAGGAATCTGGGCTAAATCGCAGAATAGGCTGCATCAGTCAATGCTGTGTTTACTTCTCTTATGCTTGGACACGCCTTTTTATGACGTAATATTGGTTACGTCTCTCCTTAAAAAACAAGTTATAAGTATGCTATAGCTTCTTATTTAAAGAAAACTTAAATGAAGTTTTAACTGAGTTGAAATGGTAGGTTGAAATGTGCAAGATTTTTTTAAATTATAAATCTACTTTTGTGTAGTGTGTGGTAGTGTTAGCATTTACGCAATGAATTATCTTTGACAAATGTATTATTAAGATACCAAACGACTGAAAACGATCATTACCAAATGATTGAAAATATTGAATGTGTGAGTTAAAAATTATAACCGTAACTTCTGAAAATACAGAAAAGAATTCTTTTGCTTAAAGAATGTTCTGATTATTGATGAGTGTGTCAAAATCGGTGCTTACTGCAGAATGGATAAGTATCTGAATCTGAATTTTTTTAATCAGTTGGAGCGAAGAGGCAAAAAGAGCGTTATTGAGTGGTGTAAGGAGAAGTTTGATTGCAATATCGTATTGCAAAGCCAGTGTGGTGCGCAATGCCAAGTTTGTGCAATTCTGGGATTTTTTAAGTGAAAATAGATCGATGTGTACATGGGCAAAGCCAATGTGGTGCGCAATGCCGAGGTTGTGCGCGATGCCAAGTTTGTGCAATTCTGGGATGTTTTTTTAAGTGAAAATAGATCGATGTGCACATGGTCAAAGTCAGTGTGGTGCGCAATGCCGAGTTTGAGCAATTCTCTGATTTTTCTTTCAGTGAAAATTGATGGATGAGCACATGGACACCGAGTTTGTGGAATTCTTTGATGTTTTTTTTT